CACTCTGGCTGAACATTTCAGTTCACCTTATAGCAGGGGTAGGCAACCTTGGCACTCCAGCTGTTGTGGAGCTACAGGTCCCACGAGGCACTGCAAGACTGACAGCCACAGGCAGGATTCTCAGAGGTAAAAGGCATGATGGAGTTTGTAGTTTGACCACAGCTGGAGTTCTGAGGTTTGCCTTATAGTATATACAGTATATAGTATATGGTCTTATAGTATATAAAAAAATGTTCTGTGCTTGCTTTAAAGTAGAAGTATTGGGAGAATAAAATATACTCTTCCTTATACTTCGAGCACGTGTGTGATAATGCAGCTGTCACCGGCCGACTCTATATACCGAGAGCCGAGCGATCATGTAACCAATTTACTTTGTAAAGTAAGGGAAACAGTACAGATACAATACAAATCAAGACAAGAGGGTTCGGAGGGCGCTAAATAAATCTGAAGGTTTCTTAGAACTGTCTGTATTACCACAACCACCATTGAAATCCAAACTTTGATTCCCCAACTGAAGTTGGAGTCAGAACAGAGGGGAACTGAGACAGGAAAGCATTTCCCCCTTGGGTCAGTAATAATAAGATATGATGGGCTGTTGCCCCTGAGTGTAGGTACTTCACTATGCAGACATTGATCAGACTGGGATCTGAAGTCATTGACACATGCTGTGCTTCATATAGCTTCCTGCAGACCTGTGATCACAGCATTTGACATTCTTTCAACACTGACTTCCTTTGTTGCTCTGAAATATTATGAGAACAAATGCCAAGAGCCACAACGGAAGCTGGTGCTGTAATATGTATACTAGAAACACGTAGTGCACAGCTCACCCCTATCATGCGTCCTTGTAATCCATATATACGGTGCACAAATGACTCTCTTCTGGAGTGATAGGCTCAAAAACTGTAGAACCAGCACACGATGATCTTCCAAAGATATTTAAACTTTATTCCACTTGCATCTATGCAAAGAACAACCGCTGACGTGTTGATGCTTTATTCGGCCTTAGTTAAGCTTTGACTAAGGCAGAAACGCGTCAGTGGTTGTGCTTTGCACAGATGCATGTGGAATAAAGTTTGAATTTCTTTGGAAGATCATTGTGTGCTGGTTCTACAGTTTTGGGTGGGTGCCAGCTGTCAAAATACAATAGCCCGGCAGGGTGGATTCCTCCACACACAGTGTATGGCCAGCTTTAGTTGTATTTGCCTCCCAGACCAAGGATTCCCAGTTCCCAGTCTGAATCTGACTGGTGGCTGTGCAGTAAAGACAGTTCTTATTTGAGATATTTTTGCAGAGGGAGCCGGCAGTGTGTCTCATGTGTGGGAGGTCACAGTGTCTCACCTGTTGGTGTATATAGTACATTCTTCTGGATTTATCTGTAAACACTCGGTGTATTTGCTCACAGCTTCTCTGTAGTGACTCTTCTTCACACAGTCATTTCCTTCCTGCTTCAGAGCCTGGAACCTCTCCTGAGCCGATTTCCCTGGAAAGAACAAACCGCAGCAAACTCTCAATTCAAATGTATTAAAAGAAATAAACATTTTAGCAAATATAGTGACATAATGGCATGTGCTGAAGTTTTACAAATCTCATTCACGCATACATGGAGGCGGCCATATTTAACCATGACTTATGCAGGCCGTGCATCTTGTATTATAGAACAGCAGAGTGCTTTTGTTTGTGGTTGAGGGTTTGGTCACACCAGCAGCTGCGCTAAACTGCACGGCTGCTGGGATGTGTGCGCGCTGACAGTGCAGATGCGCTCAATTAAGCTGCATTACACTGTTTTTTGTTGTTGTTAAAACTTTATTGAAATGTCACAAGTAACACTGCCTAACGTTCTATGGGCACACCGCAGTGCAATGCGTTTGTACTCCGTCTTACTGCAGTGCGCTTAAAAAAGTACTGCATACCGCACTGAACTGTGCCCACCCCTGACAAGGCAAATTGCCTGGTCTTGTGTTTGGGCTGCGCTGAAAAAAACGATCAGCACAACACGCTCATTTTCTGGGCCCGTTCACATCATATGCGTTCCGCATATGGTGTGAACGGGCCCTAAAAATGAATGTGCCACAGGGAAGGGCTTTAGGGCCCATTCACACCACGTGAGTTTGGACTGTGCTGGTTGTTTTCTTCAGCGCAGCCCAAACGCAAGACAAGGCAACTTGTTGCGGTGGTGTGTGCTAGCATGCAGTACTTTAAGCACACTGCGGTGAGATGCTGTACAACCACATTGCACCATGGTGAGCCCACAGAATGTAATTTAATGACACTTGCGACATTTCAATAAAGTTCTAACAAAAAAAAGAAACAGTGTAATGTGTCTCGATCGAGCGCATTGGCACTGTCTGGGCACAAGCACACCAGCAGCCGCGTGGTTGAGCACAGTTGCTGGTGTGAACAAGCCCATGGAGTGTTAAGCTGACCATACACTAGTCGTTTTTGCTTGCTTAGTCCTGCGCTCGATTCCCTCACCCATGCTTGACAGTGTAGATGTGGGAATCACCCCTGCCAGGCTATTGTATTCTGACAGCAAAGGACTTGCCACTGTCAGAATACCCAGACAGTAACTGCAGCTGATTGGGTACTGTAATTGTTCCTGGGAAAATTTTTGGCTAAACTTTTGTAGAATGGGGTGAACTCGATCAGTGTTTGGCCAACTTTACTTCAAAGTTTACCTTTGTCATTTATTTATTTACTCTTTGCTGTGTTCAAACATGTGGAAAAGGCTTCCCTACATTCCTGGGGGTAGTACAGCTCTCACGGTAATCCCCCCCTTCCCCCTGGTGATATCAGGGAGGCTGGTACAGCGCTATATGATCCCCAACCCCTTTGTGCACTTTGCCATTCAAAAAGCACAGTCTTCTTTCATTTCAATATGTTTTATTACGTTTTCCAAATAAAGTACACGCACATTGCAACAATGACTGAAATCAGTAAGTTGTCAAAGTCACAGTCAACAATCAACATAAAAAAAAAGGGGGGGGGGGAGCATACGGTTTACGTTGAAACCAAAATAACGGGGCCACAGGACTTGCAAAACCAATTTTGTAGCAGTAAGTCAGACAGAAAAGTCAATAAGAGAAGGAAGAATAGAGAAGATCAGAGGTAAAGGAGTAGCGAGAGACGGAGTTAGGAAAGACAAAGACATGAAGAAGAAGGAGAAGGAGAAGCGGTGACTGCTGTGATCCAAAGTCCAGGCTACCGGATAACTCTGGATAAGCGTCACTGGGCAGAAAGAAAAACTGAGGACTAAGGGTCCCATATCTTTCGAAATCTACCAGTGTCAGAGAGGATACAAGAGAGGTGTTCATTCACAAATAATCCCCGCATGCGTTGTTGAAATTCAGCGTAGGGAATGGCTTGCTTTTTCCATGAATGAGCAACAGTCTGGCCATTAGAAACATAATGTTTGCCAATTGCCACCGGGATTGGTGAAGTTGCGGTATTTTGTAGTGAAGAAGCACAGTCTTTAACGCTGCAGCCAGTCCTTCATTGTTCAATTAAAGGTTGGGCCGAGTCCTGGACCAGCCTGTATCGTCTATCTACCCTAGAGTCTGCTCAGGTGTTCAGGATCTGGAAGAGCTCTGTGCCAGGGGGTATCTGGATCACTACATTAGCTGAACACAATTGCAAATCCTTTGGATTGTGGCACTGGGAATTTTCCCCAATATCAAAGAATGTAAAGTGTTAAAGAAGAAGTCAGGGCAACATTCTTATTACTTGCGGTAGCCCCACTGCAAGGGTTAACTGATTGCTAGTGTCTGGGGACTAAAATACAAAAAGTTGTACTCCCCTTATCCTCTGAGCCAGATGGCTCTTAGACTGGTCCTTCCAGCCTCGCTCCCCATCCGCTGCAGTGGTCTAAGGTCCTGTTAGTCATCATGCACTATACACCGTGTATTGGGCTGCTGCAGTGGAGAGGGAGACAGACTGGAGGGAGCGTTGTGACAGCGGGGTGGCTCCCAGGTTCGGGTGAGTATAATTTTTTTATTTTAGTCACTAGAGACAAACAAGCAGTTAACCCTTGCAGTGCAGGGATTGTCCCACTAATCTTGCCCAGGGTTCTGCTTTAAGCACATCAGCCAGAATCCATCTGCTATGTTGGTAAAATGGCAGCTATCAGCCCACACAAGGAACTGCTGTGTATAAACAGGAAAAGCCACGGCCCTTTAAACACCCATCTCTACTGAATTATGCAAAGCAGCATGATAAAGAGTAACCTGCAAGCAGCAGTCACCTCTCACCTGGTGTGTTCTAAGCAGTGTTTGCATATTACAGAGCTCATGAACACATTTTAATAAAAAAAAAAACATAATGGATTGCTCATGTGTTCCAATGTTATCCAGAAAGACTGGGAGTGACATTTTAGGTCCTGTGTGTGGCCCGTCCTCAGCAGGTAGAAAAGCTCAGCAGCTATAATGCAGTTATATCCCCTGACATTTCATTATGTGTGATCTGCACAATTGTTTCTTACCACCAAGTGTGTAGGGAGTGGAAAGTTCTACCTCAGGGGTAGCTAAACTCCAGCAATGGTGAAACTACAACTCCCATTAGGCTTTGTAAGACTCCGACAACCACAGGCATGCCTCCCAGAGGCAGATACAGGATGGGACTTGTAGTTTCACCACAGCTGGAGGCTCTAAACTATCAATAGCTTATAGCTTGCAGCACTGGGAGTGCCCGGTCCAAATCCTGGTCAGGACACTACAAGGAGTTTGCATGCTCTGCTTGTGTGGGTTTCCCCGACACTCCAAAGACATGCTGGTAGGTTAATTGGTTCCCTATATCTATCCAGGTGTGATAGGAACCTTAGATTGTAAGCTCCTTGGGGCAGGGACTGATGTGAATGTGCACCATGTAAAGTGCTGTGTAAATTGTCAGCACTATATAAATACCTGTAATAAATAAACAGCTGAACTATGTAAGTCAGCCAATAGCCAAGGTGAGCGATACCATACCTTTAATACCGGTTACAGTCTACTGTCAGCTGCGCCTTCCCTCTTACTTACATGTAACCAGGTTAATTTGATCTGAAGCCGAGCAAACTACACGAGTGCTTAGCCCTCATTCACACATGTAACAGTCGGCCCGTACAGATCCGTGCTGCATGCACGGCCGCATCGGGCCGCTCCCGGGAAGGACAGGTGCTGCGTGTGATTTGTACGCAGCAGCCTGTTCTTCTCTATGGGAGTACAAGGCCGTATGCCGCCCTGCGCTCACCCGAACTTCACATGCGTGCGGGTGCGGGTGTCCCTGCTCATCCCGTCAGCGTACAAGTACGGACACCCGCAACCTCACAGACGTGCAGTTTGGATGAGCGTACAGCCGCATACTCCCGTAGAAAAGAACAGGCTGCTGCGTACAAATCACACACAGCACCCGTCCTTCCCGGGAGCAGCCCGATGCGGCCGTGCATGCAGCACGGCTTTGTACGGGCCGGCTGTTACTCGTGTGAATGAGGGCTTAGACTGCAGGAGGACATGCAAGCACCAGGTGGAAAGACACAAACACAGGGATAACGTGTTCTCATCTCTGATCACTCTGGTGATTCAACCCAGCAAACAAGCTCTGTATGACAAGCGTGCCAACCCCTTCCTCCCTGCTCCCTACCGATTCTACATTGTATGGGCAATCAACAATCTATCCGGATGTATGCACAGACGTTACAACAATTCAACATTTCATGACTGGTCTCATCTTATGAAAGGGGACGTCTGATTGGCTGGTGTGGTTTATTACATAACATTATTAAAGAACGCCGTACTTATCTTTATGGTGTTGTATAACTACGGACCATGAAATCATCCACCCTGCTCACCACGAATAGGAGCGCATATTAGATAGTGATCCTGTCACTCGGCTCTCGGGTTCAGCCGACACACAATTATTTCACAATGAATTAATGAAGAGGTCATAGTAAAAATTAACCCCTTCACTGCCAGGTCCTGTGTTCCACTTTTACGCTCAGCTGCCCAGACCATTTTTGCAATGTGTTCCTTTTTGGGGGAGTTTTCAACTACAGTTTTTAAAGTTAATTTTAAAAAAAAAACCCACAAAATGTACATTTTCTAAAAGCACAGGATGGTGCTACCGGGTTCACAATAGTGGCGCAACAATACTCATAAAAAAGTGCACTCTAATTCTTATGAGCCAACAGAAAAACAACATCATTTATACAATTCCTAGTACATTTAACAGGTAAAACTGCATCAAGTACACAAAACTGTAAAGAAGCAACTGATGCTGAAAATCTGGAGGTTGGCCTCACGTGACCTATGCGTTATGGTAATACCCGATCTGGAGTGCTGTTTGTGTGCTGCATTGATGTACTTTGCGATTAAGTAACGCAGGCATACAGTTTATCGCAAAGCAGCGCGTTCTTTGCCACACACACAGTTGCATTAATGTTGAAAAAAAAAAGAAAAAGAAAAAAAAAGCAAACACTGCAATGTGTTGTAACTAAGCAATGCAGTGTATGTGCATAACATTACGTTACTTGCACTCAATTGTTCAAGCATATGTTACACGTGTGTGGGGGTGTATTTTATTTATTTTTTACTATTTTTTTAAAATAATTTTTATTTATTATTATTGTTATTTACATTACTGCCACTGGGACTTTGGGGAAATATCAGAGGTCTATTTATTATTATTGTTATTTCTATTACTGCCAGGGGGACTTTGGGGAAATATCAGAGGTCTAAACAGACACCTAATATTTATTTTTTTAAAACAGAGAAAGACACGGAGGGGAATTTATCAAGACTAGAGCAGACAAAATTTGGAGCAGTTGCCCATGGCAACCAATCAGCTTCTCTCTTCAGTTTGTTCAGTTAAGCTTTGAAAATGAAAGAGAAACTGGATTGGTTGCCATGCACAGAGTCCTCCATCTCCTTCTCTGCAGTCCCAGCACTTATGGAACAGGAAGTGCCCAGTACAGAGGCTTCCTGTTCATTCACAAACTGAAGAGATAGTATACAGTAAAGAAAAAGTCCGAGCTGCATCCGGCTCAGTGACAACTGCCCAAGGTTCACCCCCTCTGACATGTTTCACCCAATCCTGGGCTTATTCGCTCTATTACTGGAGGATCGGTAAATAGGACACATCCTGAATCTGCGCAGCCCCGTCAGTCACTGGATCCTCCCCACCTGCAGGTCAATCATCCCTGATGGGTGACGGAAGTATGCTTTGATCCGCCCTCTCCAATCCCTGCGGTCTCTGTAGATACAGGCAGGGAAGATCAGCAGGTATCGGAGGGGACACAGAAGACATGAACAGGATCAAATTGGCCGCGCCCAGCAGGGAGAGTGCAGAGCGGCAGCTGCGGCGGTGTCAGCAATGTGGCCCTGAATGGCTGTCATCAGGGGCTTGTCAGCCAAAGATGACAACTTTCTATTACACAAAAGAGTCACAGGGACCCTTCTGTTACAACTTTGTCAGCCATTGATGACAGCTATTCATTCACACAGAAAGGTAAAGCTGGGTACAGTAGAGCGAATTTCAGCCGTTTCAGGAGGAATCTGCCAAAATTCTCTCCATTGGTGACCCTATTCCCTCAACAAACGTTTATCATTAGATTGCCAATGTTGGAAATTCTTCGGTTGAGCGGCAAACGAGCCAATCAGCTGCAAGTACTACTCTGGTATTCTCAAATCGGTCAGTGCCGCAGTCAGAATGCAAAGCTCAGTACGGGAGATGCACCCATCCATGCCATTTAGCGTGGATGGAGAAATTTGTAATATTGTTTTCGCTCAGCACGAGGGTTGAATGAAAACAATATAAGTGTATACCCTATTTAAGAGGGACCATTCTGTAATAAGTTAAAGGTTACTGAAGCAGAAGGGTGCATGCAGCCGATGTAAGGCATACTGACCTGGACCGCTGGGAGCGGTAGTGGTACGCAGTATACCATACGTCGGTGACAGTGAAGTATATAAAAACAATTCACTAAAATCTCATATCGGCTATAACATATTAAAGTCATTTCTATAGTCATTTTCAATATTCTTAAATGTACAGCTTTCACTAATCCTGACATGACAGCCCTTGTTCAGGCACTTTCTGACATTGGGTGACATACAGTAGCTCTGCCCAGTCTCCCAGTTGATCTCCAGCATTGTTACATAAGACTGCCAGCAGCCATGCTGACACACATGGCAAATACCTGTTCCACTACTACTGTCACCATCAGGGAACCTGCCCTGAGAAATGTGTGCAGCCATCACTGCAATGCATGCATACATACATTACCATGGTAATTGTTCCGGACACATAATGCTTTAGCAAACGTCATTCAGTTAGCGTTTACATCTACTTTAAGTGTTCAAATGAAACCATTCAAGTCCAGTTTTCCAGCTGCTGAGAAACTACGAGTCCCAACTGACCAAACTTATTCTAAACATAAACCTAATTTCACAAAGTTGGTACAATGAACACACCTCCATGGCTGTTTATGTATATATTGTACACCTTAATATATTTTGCAATGTGTGGAATGCTGTGCAAGCAGCAACACGCCCAAGTTCCCTGTATTAGGCCATAACAGTGAAATGCACTATTGCTACATGGCTATATTAACACTTCTTGTGTGCTAATCCTACACATAGATCAAGTGTCCATATGTTAACCAATGAGTCCTAACAATAAAACCCTGAACAGGCTGGACTTAGTATAACTATGGTGGATTGACCAATGGTGAGATTTTAGTGAAGTTGGATAAACCAGGGCTGATTTCTGAATGTATATACACACACACATATATATATATATATATATATATATATATA